ATATGAAAGTTAGGAGTTCCTTCTTTCTTTCTGCTGTGTAATATTCCATTGTGTAAATGTACCACAGTTTTTTGATCCACTCATCTATTGTTGAACACTTGAGCTGTTTCCAACACTTGACTATTGTAAATTGCACTGCTATGAACATTGGTGTGCATAGGTTCTTTTGAATTGGCGTTTCAGGATTCTTAGGTTTTTTTCCCAGCAGTGGAATTGCTGGGTCATAAGGTAGTTCCATTTTTAATTTTTGAAGAAATTCCATACTATTTTCCACAGTGGCTGCACCATTCTGCATTCCCACCAGTAGTGCACTGGGGTTCCCTTTTCTCCACATCCTCACCAACACTTGCTTTTTGTTTTGGGCAGTTGTGTGTTTATTTTCATTTGTATCCAGATACATTTTTTATTTCTTTCTTGATCTTATTTTTAACCCATTCATTATTTAATAATGTTATTCATTCTCCATGTATCCGAATGTTTTTGAGTTTTTTCCTTGAGATTGGTTTCCAGTTTCTAGCCATTGTCATCTGAGAAGATGTTCAATATGATTTCAGTTTTCTTGAATTTGCTAAGGCTTGTGTTGTGTCCTATCATGTGGTCTGTCTTTGAAAATAATCCATGTGCATTTGAAAAGAATATATACTTTGCTCCTTCGGAGTGAAATTTTCTGTAAGTATCAGTTAAGGCCATATGAACACTGTACATGTGAACAACACTGTACAGTGTTGTTCAGTGCCACCATATCCTTGTATGTTGGTTTGGAAGATCCATCCATTGTTGATAGTGGGGTGTTAAAATCCCCTATGATGACTGTATTACTGTCAATCTCCTTCTTAACGTCCTTCAAGATTTTCCCTGAGTGCATATATGTTGACAATGGTTATATACTCTTGTTAGACCACTCCTTTAAGTATTATGTAGTGACCTCCTTTGTCTCTTGTTATGACCTTTGCTTTGAAGCCTATAGTCTGATACAAGTATTGCTACCCCCTTTTTTTCATGTCCATTTTCTTGGAATATATTTTCCATCCCTTCACTTTCAACCTATGTAAATCTTTTGTTCTGAGGTGGGTCTCTGGTAGACAACATATATGCAGATTATGTTTTCTTATCCACCCAGCTACCCTATGCCTTTTGATTGGAGCATTAAATTCATTTACATTCAAGGTTATTATTGATACATATTTGTTCATTGCCATTTTTTTCCTTTGTATCTGTGTGTGTGTGTGTCTCTCTCTCTCTTTTTCTCCCCTTCTTAAAGTAGTCCCTATAGCAACTCTTGCAGTGCTGGCTTGGCGGAGATGTACTCTTTTAGCCTTCTTTTGTCTAAGGAAGTTATTTATTTCACCTTCCATTTTAAATGAGACCCTTGATGGATACAGTCATCTTGGTTGCAGGTCCTTGCTTTTCATTACTGGGAATATGTCATGCCAATCCCTTCTGGCTTGTACTGTTTCTGTTGAGAAATCAGCTGACAGTCTTATCGGAGCTCCTTTGTATGTTACTAGCTGTTTCTCTCTTGCTGCCTTTAAGATTCTCTCTTTGTCTTTAAATATTGTCATTTTAATTATGATGTGCCTTAGAGTGGACCTCTTTGAATTCACATTGATTGGGACCCTCTGTGCTTCCTGAACTTGTACAACTTTTCCCCTCACCAAGTTAGGGAAGTTTTCTGTTGTTATATTTTCAAACAAGTTTTCTATCCCTTTCTCTTTTCTTCTCCTTCTGGAATCCCTATGATATGAATGTTGTTATGTTTCATGTTGTTCCAAAGCTCCCTTGAACTGTCCTCCTTCTTTTAGAGTCTTATTTTTGTCTTGTTTTGTTGCTCTGAGTGGGTGTTTTTTCTACTTTGTCTTCCATCTCACTGATTCAGTCCTCTGCTTCTTCTAGCCTGCTTATAATTCCTTCTAGTATATTCTTCACTTCCCTCTGGTTCTTATTCATAGTTTCTATATTCTTTTTCATGCTACTCTGGTTCCCACTAAATTCTGTGTAGCTCCCATAAAGTTAGTTGTAGTTCTCAATGAGTTGTTTGAGCATCCTTATAACCATTATTTTGAACTCTGTCTCTGATAGATTGCTTGCCTCGGTTTCATTTAGCTCTTTATCTGGGGATTCCTCCTTTCCTTTATGTTGGAGGTTGTTTCATTGTCTCCCCATTTTAGGTTACTCTTTTGTTTGTTTTTGCATCCCAGTTTGCTCTGCTTTGACTGCCAGTCTTTGTGGGGTGGCCTTCTGTGGTAGCAGTTCTGTGGGACTCAGTGGTGCAGTCTCTTCGATCTCCTGATCTGGATGCTCTAGGGATGCCTTTATTCAGTTTATGTGGGCTCTATCGTTGTACTTGGGCTTTGATTATTGATGGCTTATTCATTGGTGGGGTCTCTCCTCTGGCTGGCTGACCAAGTCACAACCCCCACCATGTCTTGTATGCTGTTGTACAGGTGCTGGCAGAACAGAGCAAAACTACCCATAAAACCAAACCCACACCAGCAAAAATACCCCCTTATCACATGAGCAATGTCAGTGGCAAATGAGCAAAGATTAATAAAGGTGGGAAGAGATTAAGAATACTATAAGATAGGAAAAAAGAATATGAGATGACTAAAGGAAAGAAAAATGATTTCAAGAAGGATAAGGGAGGAGAAATAATAAGAGTAGGGAATGGAATCAAGGTGAAGAAAGGGAGAAAATAAAATTTAAAACATAAGTAAAAACAGGAAGGGTGGTGGCAAAATAGAGTAAGAAAAGGGAAGAGTATAATTGAGGCATGTAATAAAATTTTTAAAAATAATGAACCAATAGGAACACAATCGAAGAAAAACAACAGGATCAATAATGACAGATGAACAAAGATTAATAAAGGTGGAAAGAGAATAAGAATATTAACAGAAAGAGAAAAGAGACTATAAGATGTCTGCAGTAAATAAAAATGATTTTGAGAAGATAGAGGGAGGAAAAACGATAAAAGTAAGGAATAGAATCCAGGCTAAGATGGAGTAAGACAGGGGGAATCTCATAGTAATCTATGAGATTTGAATTAAAAAAAATAGTGAACAGATAGGAATAAAATTGAAGAAAAACAGCAATAACTGCAGTATCCACACCAAACAAGCAGTGATTAATAAAGGCAGAAAGAAAATAAGGACATTATAAGAAAGAGAAAAAGAATGTGAGCTGATATAAAGGGGAAAAGTGATTTTGAGAGGATAGAGGGAAGAGAAATAGTAAGAGTAAGGAATAGGAACAAGGCGTTGAAAGGGGGAAAATAAATTTTAAAGTGAAAATAAGAAAGGACAGGAAGAAGGCAAAATGAAGTAAGACAAGAGAAGGATGCCATGTGAGATTTAAAATAAAAATACAATGAAAAATATAAATAAAAGACAAAGTTGTGAATTAGTTGGAATATAATTGAAGAAAAAGAAAAATGTGAAAAGGCCATGCAGGAGAAAAAATAAAACAAATCTTGAAGAAGAAGGAGTGGAATTCCTCTCAGCAGAGTTTGGTGTTTGCCTTCTGTCTTCTTCTGGAGCTGCCTCTGGCTTTTTGTTAGCTCAGGCTCCAGGGGTGGGCCGTTCAACTTCTGGCAGCACCTCCACCTGCCTCCAGAGGGGGCTTCTACTGTGATCAGGAGGGTGGGACTCCTGGGTCTCCCCTGGGAGGCGCTGTTCAGTCTTCTGGGAAAATTGTGTGTGTGTTCCTCTGCCCCTGCACCACCCGTCTTGGTCTGTCCCAGCTTATTTCCAATAATGTATAGTTTCTCCTGAATCTGCTGTCCATTTCAAGGGAGGGGCCAATCTGTGTAAGAGGGTCAGCTCTTTCCTGCTTGAGGCTGATGGCAGCTCTGTGTGTGAGCCAAGGCCGGACCCTCATGCCCTCTTGCTGCACCGATGTCTGGTCTCCCTGCCTTGCTGCCTCTGTGCATGGGGCCCTCGGAACCAGTGTATTTTGTCTCACTGAGAGAAGGATGAAGAATGTTTGGGTTTTATATGCAGAAAAAATACAGCACTGTTTTCATTCTGAAGAAAGTAAATAAGTAGCAACAGCTTTCCTGCCTGCAGTGGTTTTTCCCATTCCTCTGAATGGCTCTACTGTCCTCCTCTGTTTCCTTATCTGCTCCATTTCTGATTCCCCTGAACACGTATATTGCCCCTTAATTTTTCCTGATACAAAATTTGGTTTCGTTTTAGTGTCATGTTTTTCTCATGTAGAGTGGCTGAATTCTTGACTTCTTCTTGTCTCTAAATCTTCCTCCCCCACTCCTAAATATCTGACAAATTTTATTCATTACACTTCCAATGTGGCTCCCAGAGCAGCCTTATCTCCAGACCCTCATGGTGGCCATGGTAATCTAAGCTGCCCATATTTTTCCTAGATCTATACAATGTCCTGCTCTCTGGCCTCCCTAGGGCAAGCTGTCAAGTTTCTTTCTGAAACTAAATATGTCTCTCTTACTCCCTGTCATTGAATGACTCATAAGACTATATGTGAACCTTTGTGTTGGCATGAACCTTTGTGTTGTCCTTCCCAGTTGGACCCCCTTCTTGTTTTCCCACCTGCGACAGCCACTCAACTTCTTTGCATGCCTACAGTAAATGTTTCTCCCGTGGTCCTTGCCTTACCACACTCTCTCTTCTTCCTGTGCTTTGCCCCCTTCCAGCAACTTTTCCAACGCCCACTTCAAATACTGTTTCCTCTGGGCAACCTCTTCTGATTCCTCTGGGGAAAGCCACAGCGCCTCCTCTTTTGTGCATTCTTTCTCCACTGCACTAAAGCACTTCTAGCCTGCCACCCCAGCTAAGACAGGGAGCTGCTTGTGTTGAGCAATGCTGCATTCTGGCTCATGGAAGACCCTCAGGTGTTCGTGGCACATGTGTCAGATGCATTTCCCACTATGAAATAGTTCTGCTGTTCATTTGAGTGACATCTTGTGTTTAATCGATTTCTGAACTTTTAATGTGGAATAAGAATTGTGATCCTTTCTGTTCTTTCTTTCTTAGGCTTCAGACGACGAGTCTTACATCAGTGATGTGAGTGATAATATCTCTGAAGACAACACCAGTGTCGCAGACAACATTTCTCGGCAAAGTATGCATCCTTTGAGCTTCCAGGTTGTTCTCCCTCCATGCCAAATTACAAAGCTGGTGTTTCAACGAACAATTACTCCCCCCCTTCACTGATTGTTCCTTTTGCAGCTGATTGTTCAGTAGATTTTGTATTTGTATAATCTGTTGAAGTAAATGCTTATGAAGGGTTTTATTTCTTGCTTAGACCAAAAGTTTGGGTCCTTATTGAAAATATTTAACTTTTAAAATATGACTTGTGTTTTCTTCTTCTTCTTTTTTTTTTTTTGCTTCCTCCCCAAACTCATTTTGTTTTTTCTTGGATATTTTAGCATATATAACACCCTGTTTGAAGAACTATACACTAGTATTTCATGCATTTAACAGCAACCTTGTAATGAAATAATTCCACTCATTCTTGAGGGAGAATAATAAAGGTTGAAGAAATGTATCACAATCAGAATTATTTGAAAGGGGAATTTCCCTCCTGGGTTTTATGAATTCAGAGAAGCAAAGTATCTTTCGTTGTGATTCTCGTCTTTCTGTTGCTTCCAGTCTTGAATGGGGAGCTTACAGGAGGAGCCTTCCGAAATGGACGTCGAACATGCCTGCCAGCTCCCTGTCCAGACACCAGTAACATTAACCTGTGGAATATCTTGAGGAACAACATTGGTAAAGACCTGTCTAAAGTCTCTATGCCCGTGGAGCTGAACGAGCCACTCAACACTCTGCAGCATCTCTGCGAGGAAATGGAATACAGTGAGCTTCTGGACAAGGCTTCGGAAACCGATGACCCCTATGAGCGCATGGTAATACACAACAGAGCAGTGCTCTGCGGGGGTTTGTCAACCGTAGGCCCGAGCTAAGGCAGAAGTCATTATGATGGCACAGCTGGTTTTTGCATAACATTTTCCCTGCATAGGTAAGGGAGGAATTGGTCCTTTTGCATCAAGTCTACTAGAAAATACACACTTTATGACTTATGCTTGGTTCAGAGTGTTTCTGCAATTAGGATGTAAAGGTGTCACTCTTCTTAGAGGTTGAAGACATGCCTAGCCTTGCTGTATTAACTTTTCCTGAAGGCTAAGAGAGCCCATTTGCTTGGGAACTTAGGTCTGACAGCGTGACCTCCAGGTTGTGCTGTGCCCTAGCCTCTATTCCACCTGACTGTTGGAAACTTGACTTTCCCTCAGGAAAGCACCAGCAGCCACAACCCTTCTGCATACGGCACTACGGTTGTGCAAACGACATAACCTATAACTGGGTTTCAGAAACTTTGAACTTGTGATACTCAGGAAATTGAGTGGATAAATGAATGAAACATACTTGGCCTTGATTGTCTGCTGGTTTCTGTGAGAGGAGTTTAACCTCATTTTCACTTACCTTTATCCCCCCATGAGTTTATGAAGAGTCTCTGCAAATAATAGAAAATGCAAATACCATTCAGTCAGCACCCCTTGACAGGGACGTGTAAATTCTAGGGGAACAAGGGACAAACAGATCTGGAAGTAGTCCCTCCTATATTATTTTCCTTTCTTAAATGTTTTAACAGGTTCTTATTGCTGCATTTGCAGTTTCAGGATATTGCTCCACCTATTTCAGAGCAGGAAGTAAGCCATTCAACCCTGTCCTTGGGGAGACTTATGAATGCATTAGAGAGGACAAGGGATTCCGCTTTTTCTCAGAGCAGGTGAGTCCCACTGCACTTGGTGCTGTTTCTTTGCAGGCGCCTCTGCCATCTTCATGATGCAAATAGATTTGTAAAACTCTGTTTGGGCAGGTCATGGTACCAGTTAACAAACAACTCGGTGTATCTATATAATTGCTCCCTACAAATATAGATTAGTTCTCTGTGTTTAAACATGAAGTCTTACAAGTTAAAGATTCATTAATCTACTGGTACATGTTGAGAATAGTTCACTAATAGAGATGGATGTGCTGAATGCTTTTTATTTGGTGGTAGCCAAAATAAGTTGTTTATTGATTTATTGAAATTTTAATACTGATGTCATTGCTTTCTATTTTGTCTTTAATTACCAGGTTAGCCATCATCCACCCATTTCTGCCTGTCACTGTGAATCCAAGAATTTTGTGTTTTGGCAAGGTTTGTTTTTCAATTACAACCTAAAAATCCAATGGATTATCTTATGAAACAGTTTCTCGTTTCCAAAAATTGCATTGTACTCAGTTTACATTTCCACCTTTGGCACTTAGAGAACTTTTATAATTGGTGCAGAGTTCAGTTGGAGAAATTAGGTTTCCTGGTTTAAATTTTAAACCATGTTATCTGGGAGGGGAAGAGATGCTTTAGGAAGCAGGCCCTGTGGAACAGCAGGGCTCCCTGCTGACTGTGCCCACTTGGAGCTATCACTCCGCCTCATTGTGCCTCCTTGTCTGTATCTATAACGTGGGGATTTCACCTGCTGCCCTCTTGCTTCCCGAGGGTGTGCAAGTACCTCTTGCTCCTGAAGGAAGGCTCCACAGCACATCATCCGTGGTCACGTCTATTAAATATATAAATATTTCAGTGGTTTCTGGTCTTTAACTCATTGAGGCGTTTGGATTGAAGTCTGTTTTATCAATGCCCATTGTTCAGTCAGAATGTTACAAACTTCCCTAAAATAAAGTGTTTCCAAATCCCTTTCAAAAGTATATGTAATATTAAGTATGAATAGTGTCTCTATGTGTGGAAGGGTGCTTCATTCTTATATGCACTTCCTCACCTCGAAAACAGTGATAGAACACTAGAACTGCACTTTGTTACAAAATAAGGAAATAAATCATGTCTTGGTCAGAAACTTTGTGGAGGCAACAAACACTAAGCTCCCTTAGTTCATTAAAATAGGTCCAGGTGGTTTTTACTAATGCATGGATAAATCCGGGTTTCCTCAGGGGAAGCACAGGTGAGGTGCAGTGCGGGGCCTGGGCCGCCTCTGAACAGCATGACAGCTTGTTCATGAAGTCCATCTCACTGCCTCGTAGTCTTACCTATTTGTATTTAGAGATTTGATTTTTGTACTGTCCTCCCAAATTATATAGCTATTTAATAAATGTGCATATAAATCCATAGTGCAATTATTTTTGCTATACAACTCATTTATATATATAAACTATTTTCACTATCTAGCTAAAATTTGTAACATTTACCTAGACATTAAAGCATAGTAAGGCACACAGGGGTCGGCAAAAGTAGGTTAAATTACCAACCGTCATTCCCTAAAAGATAAATCATAAGCAAGGCCATGAAATAGTAACAATAAGAAGACAAATAATATAAATAAATAATGCAAGAATAAACTGTGTTTTGCGTACTCACAGGTATAAACCTACTTTTGCCCACCCCGGGGTGTGTGTGTGTGTGTGTGTGTGTGTGTGTGTGTGTGTATTTGCGAGCGTGCGTGCATGTGCACACATGTTATTCCCGGCTTCTCCCCAGTCTTATTAGTTGACAACAACCTCTGCTATATAGACATACAGATAGTAGCTTTTTTTGGTTCACGGTTTATCTTTGCACTTTCGGCCATCCTCAGGAACCAACCAGTCATGTTAAATCAACAATATAGAATCAGTTGTAGTGACAGAGTTCTTTGTCAAATGTAAAGTGTAATATAAACGTTCGTTTTTACAGAATAAATTGCTAGATATGGTATATATGTTTCTTATCCGCTGCCTGTGCCATTTAGATATCAGATGGAAAAACAAGTTCTGGGGGAAGTCGATGGAAATCCTGCCTGTGGGAACCCTGAACGTCATGCTTCCGAAGTAGGTTTCTCTCTTCATCCTTTTGGTCTCTTAACTGCTTTTCAAAATCAGAAATGGGCATTTGAAACCCTAACAGGGGTATCCAACCTCTTGGCGTCTCTGGGCCACACTGGAAGAAGGGTTGTCTTGGGCCACACATTAAATACACAAACACTAATGAAAACTGATGAGCACAAATAGGGTTTTAAGTACATGTGCAGTGCTGTGTTGGGCCGCATTCATAGCCACCCTGAGCTGCATGCAGCCTGCAGGCCGAGGGCTGAACACCCCTGGTAGGAGGTACTGAGGGTCTATTTCCCTGTCAGCTTTACCAAGGTGCTGAGAATGTTCTCCCACAAAAGCAAATGAGAACTTCAGCACATGTATTACACCTTACTGTTTATCTCTTCACATCCTCCATTCATCAGTCAACACCGGCTGCCTAACTGTCCCAGTCACCGTGTTAGTTTGCATTTTTCATGAAAGATTCTTTTTTGCTTATTTTCTCTATACAATTTATAATTTTACTTCGAGTTAATCTTAGATCCAGGGACTATTTTTAATTTCTAAGTTATGGCTGTTTTCAAATTAATTGAGGCCAAAGGCTTGATTGGTTTTGTTTCTGTCTTCCTTTGGTTGGTTTGGTCTGGTTTGGTTTTTGTCTATTTGAATGGCAGAATTTGCCGATGGATTGGATATGGAAGAAGGTGGGGAGGGAGAGGAATCCCTAGAACCACAAAACAAACTTTCAATATTTGTAGGCTCATAAGGAAGAAAGAATTTTCCCAGTGGTGTATATAGTGCCTATATCATACCAATTCATAATCATTTTAGAAATTCAGAAGCATTTTTTTATTTTGAAATAACATTTTATTTGAAAATAAACATAACATGTAAATGTGACTTAAAGCTATGCCATCTCGTTTCTTGCAGAAATTCTGTAACCTTACTCCCTGGAATTTGCATTGCATATGTACTGCCTTAGTTATGCACATCAGTCTTTTCCCAAAGAATTGTTCACAACTTTGGTGTTAACTTAGAAAACAAAACAGCCCCGGCTAGTGTGATTTGGTTGGAGCATCATCCTGTAACCAAAAGGCTGTGGGTTCGATTCCCAGTCAGGGCACATACCTGGGTTGCAGGTTCGATCCTTGGTCCAGGTGCATACCAGGAGGCAACCAATTGATGTTTCTCACTCTTTCTTCTTCTTTCCCTAAAAGCAATAAAAAAAAAAGTCCCTGGATGAGGATTAAAAGAAAGGAGAAGAAAACGAAACAATGTCCTCCAAATAATCTTTCTTAAACCCATGCCCCATCTGCCTCTCTGTTCCCTGGAATCCTTCCACAAAGGCCTCTTGCCTGCAGGGTGAATCCAGATTCACCGGTGTGTCTGCGGGGCTTCCCCGCTCTGCCCCATCACACCTTTCCACCTCTCTTCCTGCCACACTCACACACCTGGAGCACCCCACGCCCAGGTCCCCAGGTGTGCCCTGCTCTTTTGGCTCCTGATGCTTCTCCCCAGCCTCCTCTAGCAAGTCTTCCATGGCACTCAACCACATTGCAGGCAGAACCCCCTCCTGTGTTCTCACGATGCTTCCTCATCCTATCTTCGTGTAAGTATTTGTTGCCAAGTCCATCAATCCCTATCATACTGTCGGCTCCAGGAGAGCAAGAAACGAGCCCTATTTAACTTCATAGCTTTAGCACCTAGCCCATAAAAAGCACTGACTTGTCCTTTAAATTACTGAATCATGTCATAAATGTCCTTGAGCCCATAGAAACTTTCAACAAAGAAATGAGAGGGAAATGAGGGAAAAGGCAGCTTTGGCCAAGGAATACTTTCTTAGTGGAAATAGTAATATATGTGTGTGACTTTCATTGTTTCTAATCGGTGCTGTGTCTTCCCCAGGTATGGAGACTGCTACGTGTGGAATAAGGTCACTACGTGCATACACAACATTCTCAGTGGAAGGAGATGGATCGAGCATTATGGAGAAGTAACCATTAGAAATACCAAAAGCAGTGTGTGCATTTGCAAGCTCACATTTGTCAAGGTAAATAATATCTACAATAGAAAAGAAAAAGTGATACAATATGCTTCCTCTGAGAAAGAAATAAAACAGTTATCTTAAACAGCCTCAAATAAGTCTACCCTGAATTCCTGATACACAGGAAAATGTTAGATAGGAGGGCAGACCAACGTGATGACATTACTCAAGACGTACAGACTTCTGAATATGTGGAAGTCAAGAAAGGCACCATCTCAAAACAGAAAGCAAAGAATTCTTCTTAAAGAATTTCTTTTTTAGCAACCCATCAGTAGTTCATTAAGTGAAATGCCAGAAAACACTTCTTGCCTATAGCGAGTCTTGTTTATATTCCTATGTCTATACCTGCTTGATTACAACATGATTCAAGTGATCTATTTTAGGGACCTCATTATAATGCAGTTGTCTCTTTCTGAGGATGCATGTAAATGATAGCTTCCAATCACTATAAGCCTACCTAAGTCTGCCACTATTACAGTTCAAATTAGTTCAAGAGAAAATATTATCTTTACCCACAAGAAAAGGTGTCTGGGAGACAAATGCCTACAGAGTACTGTTTTCCCTAGTCTCTGCTGGGACACGGAGCACACAGGACCGCTGCCGTGTGTGCGTGTGTGTGTGTGTAGGGGTGCCGCAGAGTTCGTGGTCCAGGAACCGCACCCACCCTCTCCACCTCCTCTAGTGCTGGTCTCATTCTAATGTGCTAGAAACAGGTACTGTAACTGGAATCTTAATATTCAAAATTTCCTTTCCTGGTCATGTTCATTTTAATTGAACATAATTATTTTAGCTGAAAATGTTTTTCTCTTTTTCCTTTTTTTTTTTTTTACCAGATTCATTAGGTGACTCAGAACTGAAGAGCCAGGATCATTGTTTGCTCTGAGTGATGGTGGTGAATGTGTGTGTTTAGTTTTGTAGGCTGTGAGAAACTTTGGCTTAGGTCTGCCCCTGATAAATGCAGAACTCAGGGCAAGAGTCCAAAGGAAAGTCCCTATTTTTTTTACTTTGACAAATACATACCTTTTTTATCAAAGCCTGCGAGGCCAGGTGGGACACTCCAGTACTCAGGCTGGAACCCCGGCAGTGCAGGAGAGCCCACCCTGGCCCCACATCCTCCCCACCAGCTGCCCACCTGCAGCTCTGCCCTGCCCTGCAAGGGGCCTCATGCACACGGACGCGGTCCAGCCCCACCTCCGAGCTCTGCCCCCACCCCCTCAAACAGCCACCTCAGGCCTAATGGTTCCCACACTGGTGGGCTGCCTGCCCTTCTACGAATGAATCCAAAGAAAAGGCTTGTGCAGGCCATAGAATAAGCTTAGAGCCACGTGGATGAGACACTGTAGACCCTGCATACTTGATGCCTGGTCTGCAACGGGGGCCCTGGCATCCAGCTGGGCAAATTCCCACCGGCTTCTCCAGTTTGGGGGAAGAGCGTGGCTGGAAAAACTATTTCTGTAGCATTGCTGGTTGAAAATTAAAAATCCCCCAAGCAAAAGGAAAATTTCAGATAGGAGGATCCGAGGAAGAAATTACTGACCTATAAATTAGTTTTTGTTTGGGATAGAAAGGAAGACATTCTGTATCATGTCACCCTGCGATCCCATGGAATAGAGCTCATCCCTTCCTTGAAAGTTAAGAAAGCCACCCGTCCATACAGAGCAGTAGGAGATAGAGTTTTGGAAATGGTGTGAATAAGAAACTTCATAAGAAGATTTTCTATGTGGAAATTCTAGGGATTGGTGTTCTTTAAGAAACCAGGTGATTTAACTGGGGATTGGTTTTTCCAGGTGAATTACTGGAATAATAATGTGAATGAAGTCCAGGGCGTTGTGATGGACCAGGAGGGGAAGGCGGTGCACCGGCTGTTCGGGAAGTGGCACGAAGGGCTGTACTGCGGCGTGGCCCCCTCTGCAAAGTGCATCTGGAGACCAGGTGAGGCCCACCTGAGTGTCCTGCCTCAGGAGGCCCCCATGCGTGAACTGACAGGGAGGGAGTGTCAGATCATCCCGTGTGGCCTGCCTTGTGTTGTCTTCAGTAGTGAGAGGGATGACCTAGATGCTAAGGCAGTTGTAGTTATATTTATACTTAATGCATAAATTATTGTCCCGATATTTCATAACAAGTTACAAAATTCAGGCCCACTCTAATCACTGGGCTTCTTGTAAAAATCACTCCAAATGCCTGCATTTCAGTGCCTGCGTTTCCAGAGCTAGGTGTAGTTACCAAAGAGTGTAATTCATTGAAATACATAAACTCAGATCCTTACTCACGTTGTTTATTGTGTGTTAATAAAACAAAGGAAAGCCTGTGAACATCTATAATCCACAAATTCGACAACTTAGCTGAGTTAAGTAATCTCTTCACTTGAGCTGCAAAAAGCTGTAATATGTTGACATTTCATAAAACACATCAAGGGAATTCTGGTGATACACTAGCATGTAATTGAATGTCAAATATAATGAGAACAAGTCTCCATATGCTATTTATTTTCATTGGAATTTTGTCATTTAAGCCCTAACTTTAAAATTAGTTATTAGTTTCTTAAGGGACCTCAGTGTGCATTTAAGTGTCCTGCTAGTCGAGTGGTTAGTTCATTCTACAGGTATTTCTTGAGGACTGGCTGTGAGTCAGGCTTTGTTCTGGAAGCTTGAAATATATTAAAGAGCAAAGTATGCAAAGGTTCTGCCTTTGAGTTTAGTTAAAAAGGGTCAATAAATATTAATTTAAATCTGCATCCTTTTCTGTTCTAAAAGGAAGTAAAGTGTTTCTGGTGAAATCTTAATGTTCATAGCTAATCACCCTGGCATTTAGCTACCTAACTGAATATTTAAGAGAGAAATTATGGTGTAGTTTAGCCAGGGAAGACTACTCTATGTACAAAGTTTCATTTGAAAGGCTAGATTTTATTAAATACATGATTCTCTCAGTTCTGATCATTAACATAAAGTTTCCCACCTAGCAAAATAAAAACAATTTAAATCAATTGAAAAAATGTATCATCTAATGTTTATGACCACAAATTTGCTGATAGTCTGGGCGTTCATTAAACACCAGAGTTAAGTCAGCTTCTGCAAGTGTTTGAAACCTCTTTGCCTCTCACGGTGGTTTGCCGACCTCATTCCAGGTTCCTTGCCAACCAACTATGAGCTCTACTATGGCTTCACAAGGTTTGCTATTGAGCTCAATGAGTTGGATCCTGTACTGAAAGATCTCCTCCCACCGACAGATGCCCGGTTCCGACCAGATCAGAGGTGAGCATGGCAGTGGCATTTGAAGTGGACACTAGACCATGGACACTACACATCATTGAGACTTATTTTCTCTTTCTTTCTTTCTTTCTTTCTTTACGGGTTCTTATATGTATTTATTTATTTATATTTATTGAATCATGCATCTATTCTTTTATTTACTCAGAAACATTTGTTTTCTACCCTGGGTAAAACAGTGTTGTCACAGGATGATTAACACAGAGGATTAGTTCAAAAAAAAATTTTCCAACAGAAGATGACACAGATTTTTTTTCTAAGTTTCCCCTCTTGTGCCTAAACTTACCAAAAGTCTGCAAATTCATGAATTCTCTCTTAACTAAATACAGAATTGCTCCTCACCCAGTGTTTGTACTTGCTTATTTCTATCACTTGAAGCACGTTTAAACTGGAGAATGAGATACAATAAGTCACAGGGACACCTAGGAATGCTTTTAGTCAAAGACTGGAGGTGTGGGTCCCACGGGCTGTGGGATGTGCCCTTAATACCTTCTGGTTCTTACTTTTTATTATTTTAATGGAGCTCTGTACTGGTGTTGCTCATTCCTACAGAATTAATTTTACTTCTTTCCAAAACCTTTATATGCCATACGAATTCCATGCAAGACCTTTTTCTGTTTCCAGTGTATTTGTGGCTTTACCTGTCCCCTAGCCAAGATGTCCCCAGTGTTTAATGTCCTGCTGTTCCGTTCTCTTAGATCCCCCTCTCTAGAACACACAGCCTTGCTGTCTGGAAGTCACGTGTAGCGATAAGCTTCCCATGCAGTGTGTCAGGTTGTGTCCCTGTTCTTTGCTCTCACTTTGCAATGGGTGTGCTTTTTCTTTCTCAATCCTATTTCCTATTTCCTTTCCAAATTTCATTTACCATGCATTTCCTTTCTGTGGCCTTTTGTAATTTTCTCCAACTGTTAACTTTTTTTTAATCAATTTTTCTCTGTCCAATAAAACAAGAAAACACCTTCCCTCTCAATCTGTTCTAAAAGGAAACAGAGAACAGCCAGTTACCATCCTCCATTCTATGGTCCTTAGCAAGTGCTTTTTGATCCTATGGAAAAGGGGCACAGCCTGGGGCTTCATGCCCCTCTAACCCTGGACTCTGGTCATCCTGAAGATGTCCAGCTGTAGAACCCTAGACAGCACACAGCGGGGGCAGGGTGTGGGTGCAGGTGGGAGAGCATATGGGGGAATAGATGCCGATAGAAATAAATTATTAAAGGAAGGGAGGGAGGGAGGAAGGAAAGTCATCCAGGCCAAACCACTCACCTTTCCCTTCTACCATTATGTTACCGTGTGCAACTCAGTTCACACACACAAGAAAGTGTTCACTGATGGCATGCAGAGTTGGTGTGTCCCAGTGTGGGAATATTCTCAGCTTGTTACTGTTCACTACGTTGTGTTCACAGCAACCAGAATATAATTTTATGTAAATAAAATCATTTTTAATCAGAAAAGAGGATGATATGTTAAAAGATTAACTGCTTTCTGCTTAGATTTTTGGAAGAAGGAAATCTAGAAGCTGCAGCAGCAGAGAAGCAAAGGGTAGAGGAGCTCCAGAGATCTCGAAGACGATACATGGAAGAAAACAACCTTGAGCATATACCAAGATTTTTTAAGTGAGTCAGTTCATTCCTATAGCAAGTCCCTGTTTTGCAAATGGTTGCCACAGGCAATGAGAAACTCCAGCTAAAAGGAAAATGAGGGACAGTTTCGGGTCCAGGGAATGGAAAGGTGGAAAAATTAAACGGATTTCAGTAAATGGTTTTGGCATTGAAAATATTGAACCAGATTTTGCACTTGTGAAAAGTTATTGTAAGCATAAAAATAAATTTTTCATACCAGCTCTTTTCATGAGCAGCAGAAAAGAGTGAGGGTCTTAACCCAGAATGCTCTTTGTCCTTCCTCCCCAGCCTTTCAGATGGGGGAGCCTTGTTCCCACTTGTCCCTGACCGGAGACAAGATGGGAGCCCTCTGCCTACAAGGTTGCCCCCACTTCCTTAGTCTTTAATTTTATCTCTGGCACCCGGAGCGTGTGTCGATGCAGATTTGGTGTCTGTGGGGTGGGATAGTGGGGGATTATTACAGGACTGTGTGCGGGGTTATGCATCCATCACACGGGTTAAACTGTAGTTTCCAGAGCCAGGACAGATCAGCTCAGAATAGCCTCACCTCCGGCACAGCTGCTGTGGCGTGGCTGCCCTGGGAAGGAATGCAGTGCCACCCTTTTGATATCAAAAGTGTGCCCTTGGATGCAGCCCTGCAGAGACTCAACGTGCACACTTCCCCCCAAGTGAGGCAGAGACCACGCAAGTGGGTCTGGGGCCTGAAGTTCCTCATTACAGTGTTTGTACACACTTTGTTAGAGGCAATGCGCTTTCCAGCACTACCTGAAGGTGATTTTTTTCTTGTCCTCGGCCCCTCTCCTCATGACCCTACCCTCTTCCATTTCAAATGTTTAACAACAAAAATGAGTTCATTTCTGGTCAAAAAGAGTCAAGGCACCGACAAGCAAAGAGGGCACTGACTGGCTCACGAAGGGCTGCTTACACGTCTTGTCTCCCAGAGAGAGGGTCCGACAGTCAGGGCACCTTGAAGTGATTTGTGTCTAATGTTGATTTTTCTATTTTCACAGAAAAGTGATTGATGCCAATCAAAGAGAAGCCTGGGTTTCTAACGACACCTACTGGGAGCTGCGAAAGGACCCTGGGTTTAGCAAAGTAGACAGCCCCGTTCTGTGGTAACCTGGGAATGTAGAGCTAGCCAACATATCCCGCTCTGAATGAATAAGTAACTATGCACAATTATGTTTCTTAGAGCTCCGCGTGGTTTCTGGGTCGACTGAACACCGACCGTTTGCTTTTCTATTCATCTTTATAACAGACGTTCAGAAGTGCATTAGACAAAGCCCCTGGCCACTTTTGGATCCTTTCTGTTTTGCTGCAACCATATTCCTTAAAAAAACATCTACACCCTCCTTGAAAAGTGGAATTAAAGGAGCAGAATATAAAATCCAAAGTCTGATGAGTTTATGAAGAAAAACAAGCTGTAACTGGTGCTTAAAGCTGATCCAGAGAGTTTAAAGCAATGTGACATAAACCACGAGTTGGGTCCTTTTTCCGGAAGCACCATCCCCTCATCGTCGGAGCTCCTGGGCCACGGCATCCGGTCAGTTCAGATCCGAGTGTGCCCGCTGGATGTGGAGTGCCCGTGCTGGCCTGGTCAGTGAGACGAGATGCTTCTCAGAGCCCGTTCCGTCTGTCCGCCATTGTTCATGCCTTAAGAAATGCAAAGATGTACAATAAATCGTTTTTTTTTAATGTGTGCTCATAGGTGTATGTGAAGGACAGGTCTTTTGAATCATGGCATGATTCACTTCGTGGGATCAGAACAGTTGGGAGTCTAACTTAAATGGATTGAAAAAGCAAAGTGTGCTTTCCTTTGACACTGCAGTCACCGTATCATATATCTGAAGGGCAAGGAAGAAACAGTGTGCTAGGTAGATTTCTGTATCCACATTGCTTGTCCAGTTCCTGTCCTGCGTCCAGACAATAAACCATCCCTCCTCCACCTAACCTCACAGTGTGCCCTAGTATTTGTCAATGTCTGTATTTGATTTGAACACTTGGCATCAGTGTTAAAATCTTGGAAGGAAATAACAGAGAGCTGATGGGATTTCTGGGTGGGCTTAGGAGTACTGTAAACATAACTGTTCTTGAGTGAAGCACAATGTAATACTTGTTACTGTCCTATGCCCAACCCACTGGCACCAGTGGGAATCCCACTGGGAACGGAAGCAAGAATGCTAGTAGCTAGCAGCCTATTTGCGTTGCTTAAATGAGTTCTATGCAAAATCATATTTTACATTTTCATCAAGTGATTCTGTTATGATACGTGACCATACATTAAGCATTTACCTTGCTGTTGGCAAGGATGTGAGACTTAATAAGTTTATACATTCCAACAAAAAGTGCGGGGGGGTTGGGGGGAGAAATGCATTTCACATACTTCAGGGTTTGTTTTTCCTCCAGTATACAGAGGCTTCTGTAGGTACTGCATTGGTATTCCTGAGTTTCTGCACGTAGACGACTACCTAAGTAATTGTACGTTAAAAAAAATCTCTCCAGAGATGAATTATAAAATTACATACATTTTATTCTTAGGTTTTTATTCTAGATCCTTACCATGAGGTTTGAAGTGTCATTTTAAACTCTGATAGTGAGGTTACTGACATTTAACATTTTGTTAGGAGGTGTTCATTTCAGTGTTACTTCTCAGCAAAGCTTTCCTAATAATGGCTAATCTGCTATCAAATCTACACTGCTCGTGAGAGCAGAAGGCAAACTCTGAAGTCTCCACTAGGTGGAGCAAAATTTTAGTTGTCCAAAAACTCGTCCCTCCTTTGATCCGGGGCCGCATTAGGCATGCAGTGTGCATCCATTTAGGGTGAAATTTCACTCTCAAGTGCTCCATCACCAGAGCCCTGTGTTCCATCGCAGCAACACCCTGTCTAGGTTTCTCGATGCCTTTTAATTCCCATTCTAAATCTATAGGTGACTCGCCCCGTGGTAGTAAATTTCTTCCCTTGTTGTTGATTGCTTTCCTGCTCATTCATCTTGGCTCCCTTTTCTCTGCATTAGAATTCTATCAACTCCCTCATAAAAGTCTGTTCTGCCCCAACTGATAAAGCTTTAAATACCATTTAAAGCAGTGCTGGTCTCGACTTACTAACACTTCCCTGAACAGTCTCAAAATATTTCACTGAAAGATACAGAAAACGTTTCTGCAAAGTAGAGGTATTCTGAGTAGGTAAATAGGAAGGTGAGGCATCAGTTACCAATGGACCTGTCAGTCAGGCAGCTGGGAGAGGACCCAGGAACCCTCAGGAAAGCAACTACTGTTTGGGCTGTAACTGAGAAAAAGAATAACTGGTGGAGTGGACTTTTACTAGATAATGAGTTCAAGCTACAAAGTAGGTAAGTGAATATTTGTCAGCGCTCACCTGAAACTCTGGTTAGGATTTTAAGATGAGAATGAGGAGGTCAAATGAATTAAAATCACACTTCATAATATCCCAGATTTAGAATCTCTTTTGAGATTCAGACTTCTTGACTAGACGTCCAGTTCAAGTGACCAGTTAAATTTAGGCAGTGCATACACTCTGACAATACCAGATTCACAGGTCTCCCCCTCACAGACTCATAATGTGTGGCTTCATCCTCCATTTCACTTTCAGTTTTGATTGACAGGGTGGTTATAGAATTGTCAGACTTACTCTGTTTGGGATTTGCATCTGCAGAAATTTGGAGCTTTTGAGACTAATTTGAACAGAAAAGGGATAGAATAAGTATTAGGTCGCTCTTGAGAAAACCTGATTTATTTTTTATAATTTTACATAAGTCTCATTGCAGGGGCACCTTTCTTAGGTGTTTTTCCCTAAAATAATCTAGGATAGAGGAGGACTTAGTAAGTCTTTATACCTCCCCCATGATGTGTTGATAAGCTCCTTCATCTCTGCGAGCGGGTCACTGAATAGTAAGGGACAGTGGTCCTGCGGACGCGGCTGCACTGAGCAGACCGACGGCTCACACCACAGGGGTAGACACTCATCATTCTCCTTCCATGTGCTGCCACTCACGGTGCAATTCACCCTCAGATTTTGCTGTTATTTTTTATTAAGTTGTTATTTTTCATCGGTTACTTTAAAATATCCCATCATTTCCAGGCAGTTGTAAAAGTAAACCTCATTTGAGATACCTTTTAATATTACATACCGATTACATGTGACATAAAAACTACCAAATGTATTTTCTAAATAAGAGAAACCAAGGGATTTTTCAATACAAGAGATGCCAAGTTGTCAGTCTTCAAAGCCTTTGTTCTTCATCATTCTGGCCCCGTCTGCGACTCCAGGAGCACTGGGGAGGCGGGTTCAAGAGGAACCTGGTCAAACTGGTTTTGCTTAGTTCTGGTTACACCACCTGTGGCTGGAGAAGAGTTTGTAGTTAATCTAATGTACATTTTTGTCATCGCCTTGTGGACTTTAATTATACATCTTGTCTGACCTTGTTCTCCATCATCCTAGATAATGACATGTTCATGGGGCAGAGCTCCTCACACACCCCGGGGTGTGCAAATGTTTGCACTTGGCTCAAGTTGGTATATCACGAATGTGGCACAGTAAATAAAAAGTTTGTGTACAAAATATTAGTTTATTTCTATGGGAGTCATGTTCAGGATATATAAAATGTATCTAATTAAACAATTATGAATCTATTTTGTGCTCTAGAAATGTTCTTTTCGGGAAAAGATGGAAAAAAGTGTCATTGGAGCTAAGATTAAAGTGTTTTGTTTTAGGGTTCTTTTCTTGTTTTTGGTGTTTATTTCAAAAAGCTTTCTGGTCATTTAGAATACTGCTTATCAAACTTGGATCCTCTAAATTTTCATTTTTTTGGTAAAATTGAGATACTTAAACTGTACATTGTATGAATTATTCTGTTAAACTTGACTTTAATACCTTATTGTAATACAAACATACATTTGGACCAAATTTTAAGACCTTGTTAGAGCCTTTTCTAGTAGAGAAAATGGCAAATTTTTTAAGCAAGGGTGATGCGGACCGCGGCTGCTGGGGTCCGAGTCATTATGGATGAAATGAGACATTCACAGGGATTACCAAATCTGGTGGAGGAAAAGGGACAGCATGGCCTTTCTCTCAAGGGGAGCAAAAGCCTCAGCCCTTGATCCAATGAGCTTTTATTGTCTTACTGGGCACATTACAAGAAGATCCTCATTAACTATGCACAGGTTCACTTTAGGTGGTTACCTTTTACAGAAAACAAAGGAGCCAATGCTGCTAACCACATCACAGAAGAGGGATATTTGCAAATGAAAAGGCGAAAGTAGTTGAACCGGTTACACTCATCCTTGGAAGGTTTAGCATGGTTTTCAGGAAGTTGCTTTGCAGTAAATGTCCTCAATTCAGGGTGAGGGAGTTTTAGCAAATAGCAAGACTCATAGTGGCCTAGGTACCTTGCAGGCCTGATTCCCCACAAGAGAACCTATCCGTTGGCGTGGGTCCCGTGCATCTCCCAGTGGGAGCTGGGCCCACGCCACGCAGAACAGTCTACTACACAAGGGTTAACTTTAATTCTTCCAAAATAAGATCCAAAGAAGAATGAATTTTTTAAAAATTGCTATAATGAACCAGAACGCCCAGCATCTTAAACAAGCAATGAAAAAACTCCCATCATTAAGGCAGCTTACAGGTGGCAGCTGCCTGTCGGTCGAATGCATCCTTCTGTTTTCCAAACAACTTCCAGAACTGGTTGATTTTCTCCTTTCCCCTGGTCCTGACTCCGGGAAGGGCAGGGACACGCATGTCTATTGTTTTGCACCGTGCCATGGGGCGTCTGTAACACGTGCAGTCACTACGCACAGTTGGACGGCAGTACAGCAATATCGGAGCCACTGAATTCAGCCGCCTGTGGAACACTGTTAAATGTTCATGGGTTAAAAATTGCCCATAATTGCATATTGATTTACTCATATCTCCAGATGGGTAGAAAAAAAAAACCATAAAACAAGAGTGTACATTTTGTGCAAAATTTTTTATCATACTTTCCTTCTACGTACATATAAATTAGGGCAATTGAGAGAGGAATATGGAGTGTTCAGAAAATGGATCTAATCCTCTTTGAGTTACCTGTTTATTTTTACTTTTAGTTAATAAGATAGGCAAAAACTTAATACTGTTAAGGAGAGAATAATACGAAAACAATTCTTTTATCTTAGGCACCAACTCCCCCTTGTTACCCTCCTCCACTCGTCCAGTTATTTCTCTGGGAAACAATGTGGTCGCTAGAAACCTTTTTAGTCACTTCAAGCTTATTTTAAAAGCTCTGTAGAAGTGTAACTGATATACAATAAGCCTGACACCCCTGAGCCTGAACCTGAGTGCCTGATGTGCACACACTCAACGCTGTCAGCACGGCCACAGTAGCGAACCCTCCGTCCCCACCAGGTAGCCTGTCCCTGTGCAGTTCCTCTGTCCTGCACCCCTCCCACCTCTAGCCTGAGGCAGCCACTGACTTAACTTTTTTCACACTTTTCCTATTAAGTTTATTGGGGTGACATTGGTTAATAAGATCACATAGGTTTCAAGTGTACTTTTTCACTTTTTAAAATCTGCATTTGTTGTATTTACTGCATATGGGGTTTTTCTAGAAGGCTGTGTGCAAACGGGGGTGTGTATGCCTCCAGACTCCTCCCTGGCCACCACCCCAGTACCCACTATGAAGTAGTAACACGTTACAAGGGAAAGAGCATGTTAGCTTCTAGTTCTGATAGCCCAGTAAAAATTTTCAGTTTGAAATACTTAGAAAACAGTAAATCTTTTCATATCGAAATGGCCATGTAAAAATGAATTCATTCCTATCTTTTGGGGGGTCCAAAATAAAGGTAAAACAACTTGCTGGCAGTGTTGGGGGACCCCTGAGAAATGTTCTCTTGTTTGTGATGAAAGAATCACTGACAACACCGCGGGGATCCAGAACGGCTGTCCTGGAAATGACGTCATGCCAATGGTGATGATTGACAGAACCTACACTGTTGTTTACTATTTGCCTCCCAAGCCCCACTTCTGTGTCACAAACATTTGAAACACGGTGCTTGAGAAAGTTGCTTTCCCATCTCTTCTATGCCCTCACTTCCTATCTGGAAACAAAGTTACTAAACCTAATTTTGAAAAAGAAACAGAAACAAGTGCCCAGAGTCCATGAGCTGCCTGCCAGCCTGTGGCAGTGGTACAGGTTGAAAACTTATTCCTCGTATCCTGCACCCCATCAGAATCTGTTCCTCCAAAACAGAAAACTTCCCAGAGACTGCCAAATACATCGTGTTTGACATTAAGTGCTAATGAAGAGAAGAGGCACAAAGGAACAAAGGAGAATGAAATGTGGGGAAGAAAAGAAGGATCTCGAAGCCCTGTGGATGGATCCCAGGGGCCAAGTTACTGTCTTTGAAGTTTGCTTACAGGCAAATTGATTCCTTAACTTCGCTCCAAAGACTCTGAGTCCTTAGATCTAGGGTGTAGGCCATGAATCTACATTTTAAGAAGCACCCTGGGCCCCGGAGAATTTTGAGGCAGGAGTGTGGGCTGGCTGAACCACGCACTCACACCCGAGTCACTGCTCCAACCTCAGCCTTTTGTCTGTTTTTTCTCATAGTGACGTTCAGTAGTCAGTACGAAAGTCTAATGCGAGAAGGCTGACTAGAGCCCAGGGACTTGTGACTCCCTTGGCCATGTATGTCTGCTTCTCACATTGCGACCTCTGTCTCCGGGCCAGCTCTGTAATACGGAGGTGAGGAGTAGGGAGCACAGAACTAACTCTAAAACCTCAATGTGAGATTGTGTTAAGCCAGAGACCATAACAGTGTGTTCCTGGAGGCAATCTAACCAGCCCAGACAACTGCAGTCTACTCTTTAAGGCCATGATCAGCTTCTCCTGCCCCACCTTCCATTTCTCCTTAGACCTGGTCCATGTCTCTGAGAAAGGCTTCCAAACGAGTTGACGGGGTCCCGGCTGGTGGGTGCCTGCAGGAAATTCGGTGGCAAAGCCTGTTCTTCATCACTTGACGGATGATTTCCTGACAAAATGGAGCAACAAACTTTATCTGGGTCACTTTCTTCCCTGAAAATAATATATTTTTAAAATTTTTGTTCAAAAAATTTTGTGAAATTGCTCTGCTGTAACTGAAGGTGTAAAGGCAAAGGCAGTAGTCAGGTACTGTTAGTTTGCAGATGGTTGTTTTGAGAGAGAAAAATTAACTTTTATCTTACATTAGGGATAGAATTTCAATTAACTTTCTACAGAAAAGCAGCTTATAATTTAATTTCTTTATAATAAAAGAAAAATTATACACAGAAAAAAATTGTGTACCTGTGTCACCTCAAAATAAGAATTATGCCTCTTTGGTGAACTTTATGTACAAGAGTGTTACATTTGTAAGAGCACAGGACACTCAATAAATCTTAAATAAACTGTATAAAGAGGTTTATTGTGTATAGTTTGTTCTGATGGGCTGTCCCCCAAATTAATGTTTTTATCTCTAGCAAGAGTCTTCAAGTAGGCTATAAAGGAGACTGGGTACTTCTTCTGACTTCATCTTCCAGCTCTTTTTTTGTGCAGTAACTATGCAGTACCCAGCTCTGGGTACTTCTTCTGACTTCCAGCTCTTTTTTTGTGCAGTAACTATGTAGAAACTGTTTTCAAATCACATACTAGACCGCAAGACCTTTTCCTGAATTTTGAACTTTGCATGAAACGACTTAGAAAGCGGGCTTCAGTTTTCCATTTGTTTAAACTGTGAAGTGAAGCTGTAGCTCATAAAGACTGCAGGCAACTCAGGGTTTTCCAAGACATGCATGCTGTCACCAGAGAAAGCAGTTCCAACAAAATAATGAAGTCTATCCTGTCTTCAGTCTTCACCTACATTGTAAGCAGCCAATGTATCAGACACTTGGCCTCTAAGTCTCTAATTTCTTACAAAGAGGTGGAGGGAGGAATGTTTTGAGAGGCAGTTTCAAAGAAAGCAATATACCAATCTTTGAGTTGCTAGAATCTCAAAATGCCTTTAAATCCAAACAAACAAAAACCCAACAATTGCCCTATTTCCGTCCTGCTGGAATATATTGAACCAGAGGCCACTGGACCTTTCAACAGCCTGGTGCACTGTGGCATGTCTACGGGGCAGTCACGGAGATGTGAGGATCTCGTGCTATCAGCTCTGGGGGATGTGTTCCTAGGACCGCACTGAGAAGCTTCGAAGTGGGTGGGAGGGAGCACATGAAGACATCTTTCTTCCTGTGCCCTTTTCTGTGACACACCAGAGGTTCTTAGCCTACAAGGAGGAAGAGAGGGAGAAAAAGAGGGAGAGCAAGACTGAGAAAATAACTTGAGATGCCAAAGGAACGCCCCTCCCCTTGCTGCATGTAAGAAAGTAACTGGAAAGATGGAGGAATAGGTGGACACACCGTACCTCCTCGCACAACCAAGATCAGAACAACAATAAATTATGGTCAGCATAACACACAGAACTGACAGGGGATTTATCTGAATGGAAGTTGGACAGCCAAGAAGTTGAAGTAGACCCGTACATCCAGACTGGTAGGAGACGACGAGCTGAGCGGGCGCGGGGCTGGCGCGGGTCGCAGGTACACGGAGGTTGGAGAAAGTTTGGCGCGGAATCGGCGCGACAGCCATCCGGGGCGCAAGAACGCAGCGGTGATCCCTGAGTACACAAGCTGCGGCTGCCGAACCCAGTGGGGCAGCGATTGTGGACCAGGGCAGAGCTCGCAGCC